CCCGTCATCGGAGGCCCCGGCGGCGCCCTCCCCTTCAACAGTGTCGGCAGCAGCGGGCAGCGGCCCCACGATCACGTAGTCGTCATTTCCGCAGCTGGCCGCCTTGGGCTGCTCGGCGCTCTCATGGCCGTTGCGCTCCGGATGCGGGGAGGTGCTGGCGCCGCGGGGCGCCACCCCAGCGGCTTGGCCGGAGAAGATGGCCGGACCGTTGAACACACCGAAGGGCAGGCAGACCCAGCGCTGCCAGGCGCTCACGGTGGGCTCGTTGCCGGGGCGCTCGTTGTCCGCCATCGCCAATTTCAAAGTAAAACTACTAGGGCTGACCCCACCGCCTGTTACTGCCAACTGTGGCCGGGACAAACAGAAGCAGGAACAGTGCGCCAAGAAGGGAGATCAAGCGATATAATCGGGCGTGTGCGCAAAGATTTCGTAATTGACAACACCGATAACATGTTAGTATGAATCAACGAGATCGATGTAAAATAAGGAGCAAGGCCGCTTTTCATACGCAACAACAGAACGCCCGGCGAACTAGATCCGTCGCTCGCCATCGATCTGCCACAAACAGGAATCGTAATATGTATCAGGCATGAAGTTACATGCATTTGCCGCTGCCTGTGCAAATAGATAGGCGCACGGCAAGTGGGGCGGCCAGAGAGCGTGCGTGCGTGAGTCTCGGTGAGTCCACTGTTGACTTCGCGTACCGCCGAAAGCTGCCCAAGCGCTAAAACGCTTGCAGACTTTTCAAGAATTAGACTGCTTACCGTGCCTTGGTCGCCGGTGTCCAGCGACTTGGTTCCTGGGCTTGCCTCGAGGACAGCGTCGCACCGCAAGTGGCTGCGGTGGCGGCAGCGTGCGAGGGATTCACAATATAGTTCCGATGAGGAGTTGTTGTGGCTATTTGAAATGGATCGCCGGGCCCTGCAGAGTTGACGCAGTTGGCTCCGAAGCCCTTCTTGGGCCCCCTGTATCTCGACTTCCAAGAAGCTCCAAGATTGGATGACTGCGTAGATGTATCTTTTAGAGTTACTGAGTGGATTAAGACGTTTGGGGTCTGTAAAGCTTCGCTTGTGTGGTTTAGTCGCGCGTCTTGTACGCCTCGAGTGCAAGTGACGAACGCCAGCAGGCTTAGCGGGCTTCATAAGACTAAATGAATCAATCGACTCAAACATATTATGAGCTAAGGATGGCTTGCGGCAGATTCAGTGGCGTCGTGCACATGTGCTGGTCAAGGGCCCCAACCAAGCGACGAAAGACTCCAAATGATTTCCGGCGCAATGAACTCCATGAACTTCTTTAATTTCAAAATATCTATTCCTATTTCAGTTTCTGTCCTGGCGTGTATTTCCGCTCGAGACGAAGTCCGCAGGCTAAACACCTGATAATAAGATCAATTCAGGCATATCACGTGCATAGGCAAGTTAAATTTAGC